TGCTTTACAACTCGGTACGGCCTTCCTTTAGTGTACGAACAGAGAACACTGTACAGGCGTCTGCTGGTTTCCTTTGCTTCTGTAGACATCTCGGCCATCTTCACTTGCTTATCATCTTTTAGGTTCCTTTCTGCGATGTCCATGATCTTCACCATGTTGGAATCCACTGCTCCAAGCCAGATCCGCATCCTGTTCCTGAACTCTGTCCATCCACTCTTCTCTTCTTGCCATGTTCCTGGGGAAAATGCTTCGGGGCTTTTAATCAGCTTGTGCAACTCCACTTCTCCAGGCTTTCTTTGTTCCTTTACTGCTTTCTCCAGGGATGCTCCTATCTCCTCAAGTGTCGTTGCTGCGTTTGTGTGAGCGTCTGCCAACGCTGTTTGCGCTGTCTTCTGCTGTTCCTGAACTGCTGTCAGGGTTTCCTGGAATGCTTGTGTAAGTCCTGCTTCTCTCTGACTTCCTGAAGCTGCTGAGTTCCTGATCTCCTCTGCTAGTGTTTGTATTCCTTGTAAGGTCTGTGCATTGATCTCGGCAAGTGCCTTCAATGCATCCTCCATTCCTTTTGCTGTTTCAAGGTTGCTGTACACTAGTGCTGCTAAAAGTAGCGACTTGCACTGTTTCCTGCACACTGCTTGTGCTCTCCTTTCTCCTCTTGTCTTCCTTTGGTGCTTTGAGCGGTTGCTTGCTCTTGCGAAAAACACACTAGAATAGTACGACAGGGTGATCCAAGTAATCAGTCCCATTGGGGTTCCTAAGAACACTGCTATGCGAATTCCTTGAAATACAACTCTGTTGGAAATAACTTCCTGAACTATCACATGCACGACGTCGTGAAACTTCTTTCCTACGGTTGCTAGCTTTTCTACGAAACTGTGAACATGTTCCTGTACAACTTTCCTCAGTACTTCTCGCTGTTGTTTTACTAGGTACCTAGGGGCGTAGCCTGACTCAAGGCTCTCACTCTCCTGGTTCTCGGTGTTCTGGTTGCCGTTCCTGTTCTCTTCCGTGTAGTACTCGCCGGTCACGCTAACGACGCTGTAGAGCTCGTTCATCACTTGGTTCATGCACAACAAAGCGTACGGTACCATGACTTTTCCTATCTCCACATAGTCCTTAATCGTGTACGCGTTCGTGTTCCTGATCGTGTTCACGTTGGTGCCGTCGGGGTTCACGCTGCACTCGTTGTAGCCTTGCTGGTAGTACTCGCCGTACACGTCGTAGTTCCTGTAGCGGTTCCGGTGCGTATTGGGCTTCCTTCTGCTCGACCACACTACCATGAGCTCGCTCTCGTCGCTCTCCACGTAAGTGAGTTCCTTTCTCCCACGGCTCACATCCTTGGAGGGTAAGGCGTCTCCAAGGGCAAGTTCTTCCTTGGTCTCCACGTTGTTGCCAAGGGCCTGCCACGGTCTCACCGCCATACTTCTTGCTCCTGGGACCAAGATCATCCCGCACAAAGTTGCGAGGCTTCCCAGTGCGAAACCAACCAGCAGCACCATACATGCTGCCAAACCGTAGCACTTCATGTTCCTTTTCTCTCTCTCTTCCACCAACACTCGGTCGGGGTAGCAATCGCTGCAAGCGTCAAAGTCTCGCGCGTTTCCTGCTGTCACGTTGTGGTTGCGAAGGTGTCCACAACCTCTGCGGTGGTACTTTGTTCCTGAACGGACTGCGATCCTGAGCGTGGGCATGTTGAGCACTGTCTCCGTCTTCTTGGTGATCTGCTCATTTGCGCGCATCTGCTTCCATCCGGCAACGAGGCAAACTGCCATGGCGCCGAGCATCATGGTTCCTATGGCTACGAGTAGCATCATCGCTGCCAAGGAGGTTCCTGGAGGCAGCTCCGCTACCATGTTAAAGAACGGGCTTCACTAAGGGTTCCTACCCACAAAGACTGTCGGACACTTTTGTTCCTGGGCACGGTGTGTCCTGGGGTCTCGAGCCTGCACGTCGCGTGTGCGTGACGGCTGTTCCTGTACATTAACTGTACTGCACTAGCTGTGTTACTGTTCCTGGCAGAATGTTTAACACTTCCGCAGATCTGTAGGACTGTAGGACCTCTACGACCTATGTCGTTAACTCCCGGGACCCAGGTTCCTATGAATGAACAACCTGAAGTTGCATCCCTGAATGGCTTCCAAGCTGTTGAACAAATTGGGTTGCTTTGGCTAGCTACCCTGCTGTGTCGCACCTTCGTTCGAGCCCCGGCCATAGTTTCTGAAGACATGAAGAAGACTGGGAGTCGAAATGGGCTTTCAAGGACTTTCGGCTGCAATTGATGTTATTCTGGGGATTGGGTGCAATGCTTCGTCGGGCTCTGGTCCAAATGTTCCGGTTCTCATTATTACTCAGCGGTACTACCTCCCGTCCTTCCGGATTCGTAAATGAATAATCACGGACGAAGTATTCCTCTATCTGAATAGGTGAATAATATTGCTATGGAATAATAATATAATTTTGAACTGATCGTAATTCACGGGATCAATATCCCTAGGCCTAAATCTTAAAACACTGAAACCCACTCAGACTAATTAATCCTCAAACCACTAGAACTCTAAACCCCAAAACTACCATGAAATTGAACTCTGCGAAACAGGACACTCTCCACGAAGTCCCTGGCGGCTTCAGAGCTGGATGACGGCAGCGAGGCAAAGACCTTCTTGATGAGTGCAGCCAAGAGAAGCTTGGAAGAGGCTTTCGAAGGCCAGAACCCAAAACGTGGGTAGTGCTTCATCCTCTAATTCTGCTGTTGACTACTGACGCATGGACAATCGCACGCAACTTGGTTGTGTCGCACCAGGTGCTGATCCCGCTGACAAGGAGAAGACGAAGTCAGCCAAGAAGGATGATAAGAAGGGAAAGAAGGAGAAAAAGGAGAAGAAAGAAAGCAGGGCTGAGAGAGAGAAGAAAAAGAAGAAAAGAGGCCCGGTTCTCGATACTTCGTTTCTTTGTTAGCAAGGCTCGGTTGCTAGTTCATCGGACACTTAGGCTCTTCCTCGGATGAGAAGGAGAGCGACTCTGACTCCTGTGAGTCGCAGTCTTCGCACGGTTTTTTTTTCGGAGATCCAGGCCATGTTTTGTCTTCGCCAGAAGGACTTGATGAGGCAGAACGGGCAAGACAGGTTGGATGATCTGTCGACGAGGCAGATCGCCTTTGTGGTCTCCGGCGCCGGGGCTGGCTCCTACTTGGGGGCGGCCGATCTCCAGGAGATTGGCGGTGAACTCGAGCCTAGATTGCAAAAGTCCCTTTGTGGCCAGCCCCTGTCTGCAACTCGTGATCCGTGTGTGGGGTGTGCTTGCCGGACGTTATCCATCTGGGGTCTTCTGCTACTGTGTTTTTGCTTCGTCTCTCCTTGTGTGACTACTTTGCCCTTTCTCGCCCCTCAAGCAGATTATTTCCGGTGTTACACCAATAGCTACAGCTCGCTGCCACTTCCATCAGTCAGTCGTCTTTCACAGAGAGATCCAAGGAAGCAGTCCACAGCGACAGGGCACAGCACGCCAAGAAGACCAAGCAGAAGCTGGAGGAGAACCAAGCAACGGCACAGGCACGGAGGAGTGAAGAGAGCTGAGACTGAATGTCGTGCAAACAACAGCAAACACACTCACGCCAAGCTGCAACAACGAACCGCTTGCCCTTGATACATCTCGCAGGCTGCCTTGGCTAGCACGTTGTGGCGGAAGCGACTCGCGAGCTTATTGCAGCTATGTGCTTGCCTCGGCTCCCAATAAACATAACATATAGACTAGTTGGGATTTTCTGAGTTTCAGGGTTAGGGCTGTCGGTTTCAAGGGTTGGGGATCCCTGGTTCGCTGACATTAGTTTTGCAAAGCAAGGGCTGGCAGCAGGTTTGGAGGCTGCAAAATATGTACTTGTTATTCTTACAGAGTTAAGGCTAATTAGTTTATAGATCTAGAATCTCATTAGATTAGAATTAAACAACGGAGGCCCAAACCCCGACCCTAGAGAACAAACCCCAGTACATGAGCCCAAGCCTAGGCAAGGTTCCCAGGACATGTAAAAGACACTCGGGGTGCCTGATTCTTGGGAATAAAGCAATCTGTCAGCAGCCGGTCTCGTGTGCATGGACAAGGTCAAACGTCAGATGTTCATAATAATCATATAGTAACCCATAAACCTCTCGTAGTTCGCACACCTGGTCTTGATGATAGTCTGACAGCTCAGCTCACAAAGCCAAATACTGCCTCTCTGACCATTGCCACATTTTTGCCCAAACCCTCGCATTGAAGTCAATCCTCAAGACTCAAGCTACTTCTTACGAATAAAATGAAGTCCTGGTCCCCCACAGCCCCGAAACTCTAAAACCGAATCTTGGAATTCTAGACTAGGCTTTCCCGACTGCAAAACCCTCGGACTTTCGATCCAGCATCGAGATCTGATTAAAGATCACGTAGAATGAAAGGTAATGTTAGGAATGGATCTTGATGCTTTCACGCTTGGTTTTCTCACTCTTCAGCTCGATGTTAAAAAAGGCCTTCGAACAGACAGCAGTGCTCCGCTCAACTCACACTCCCCCTTTCTACGAGTAGAAACCTCAAGGGGCAAGCGACTAACTCACCTTGACTTTCACTGGCAAACTCTGCCGAAACTCCAGAGAGCGAGCAACTGACTGTCACCGCGACTTTAACTGGCAGGCTCTGCCTTTTAAAGGCTTACTGCTGCTTCAGTTTTCGTCGCTTCGTCGATTCAGAGCACGCGCGTGCAATCCTACACGAGGTTTACAGTTCCAGCTCAAGGCCTTAGATAAAGGAAAACAATAGCAGAGAATCGGCTCTTCGAAACCCCGCCAATGACAAAAGCAAGACCCTTCTTACTCGGCATCCTGCCTCCGAAAGAGTTTACCCGGGGTCTTACCAACCTAGAAATAGCGCTACTGGCTATCCCCACAGAGGAAAAAACCGCCCCGAAACCACTTAAAAGCCCTAACCTCAATCACTTAAGATTGAAGAAGGTGACCACGGTGTTCCCTTTCGACACAGAACTACCTCCTCGCTCGAGCCTTCGAGGGTGGAGCCTTCACAGGAGGTCCTTTTGGAGCCGCAGCTCCGTTCGCCTTGGGTACTGTAGCCTTTGGCACCGGAGGTGCCTTTTGCAGAGGGGCCGCTTTGGGTAGCCCGTCACTCGAAGAACCTACTGAAGAACTCGGATGCACTGCTGCTCGCGGATCAAACCTCTGATAGACCAGGAACTCTGTTCGACCACGCCACTGCATCTCGTCTGGACCCCTCCCTCGTGGAGTGGTCGTGAAATGATCTTGATAAATACGCTCCTCTCCGTTGTGAAATGTGCAGTAAGTCACTCTCCATCCTACAAGCTGACTGAGCGGAACAGGCAATCTCGATGCCCTCGGATCGAAAAACTGTCTCCGGCTACTTGCATGCCACCTAATCAAGACCGCTTCTTCTGGAAGATACTCAAAATAATCCCTCCCCCGGACCCTCAACCGATGTCCTAAATTACGCCTGGCATCCCACGATAACCATCCTGAAGGGTCAAGGGTGTTCGGGACAAGAGCCTGTCTAGAAACAGCTACGGGAGCCTCTGCGGACACCTGGTTAGAAGACGACGACGTGAGGACAGCAACTCTTGGGGACAAAAGGGCCTCAATCAAAGGCGTGTCAGATTCTGTTTCGGAAGCTCTGTCACTACCAGAAAAAGCGTAAGGATCAGGAGAAAAAGCCCTTTCTGCATAATCCTCGTAATCCCATGGCCTTGAAGCGACTTCGGCGCCTACTCTGCCCGCTGCTGAGAAAGCAGCTGTAGAGGCATTCTCACTTAACCCGGAACGCCGACTAACACCCTGAGACACCCACTCTACAGACCCTGAACTTGCCGACCTTCTACGCAAACCCCTCTCAGATATAAACGCTCGTGCGTCCTCGGACGAGCCAACAATTGCTAGGTCATCTGCGAAAGCAAACACTTGCACAGCAGAACCTTGACGATAGGCATCTGCCTGGCCATTTACTTCTAGACCTCCTCTCGCCCACAAAGCTCTAAACAGGTACTCGAGAAGCTTCGCCAGCACCAGCACTACACTTATGAGCAACAATAATGGCCACCATGCTCCATCATCATCCTCTACACGGTCAGGCTGCGCTCTGACTTGCCTGCACACTGCAAGCAAGATCAGCGCCCTCAAAGCTTCACTCGGAAGCTGGACAACATTGGCCAACTGCAACAACTTGGTCATCCGCAGAGGTGGCATTGCTTTAGTGAGGACGTCTGCGATCATAACTTCGCCTGCAACATGCAGACATGTCAGAGTCTCTTCTTCTAACCGTTCGTGTAAATGACGTGCGCGTAGCCTGAGGTGGCGAGTCCTCCAGCTACCTGCTGGCACCGAAATTATCGCGACGTTGGCAACGTTATCGGAATACAACGTGGGGACTTGCAGATCTACTAGCTCCTCTAACAGCGGTCTAATCGAATCATGCAACACCATGCCTTCAATGGAAGCATACAGCTCACTTTCTGCTGTGCTTAAAGTAATGAACGACTGACGGCTCGTAAACCATCCTATCAGCCCCCCGGACCAGAGCACCAAAGCACCGGATTGACTACGAGCACCCCCAGGTGCAAAGGCTGCATCTGCATACACCTGTAAAACTCCAAGGTCGTCATGAGGACCGAATGAGATAGCCAAATCCGGATACTGCCTCAAGTACCGTATGATGTTGTGACAAATCTCGATCGCTTGTTCGGGATGCCTTGCCGTGAGCTGTGACGCTTTGTTGGTCGACCAAGCAATGTCAATCCGCGTTTTCGTAGCCAGCCAGGTTAACTCACCCAGCAACCCCTGAGCCTTGCGAACAAGTGCTAGGTTTGGCGCCTCTTCGCTACGAAGCATGTCGCAGGTATCTTCTTCTTTAGTGGAAGGAAAGGGAGCCCACGCCACTCCCGACACCTCCGGGTGCCGCTTTAACAGCTCCACCACATACCCAACCTGAGACATGTAGTAAACATTTCCAGCGAGATGAAGATCTACACCGAGGAAATGGACATCATGCACTCCAACCTGCTTCGGCTCTGAAACTTCCCACTTCGACCTGATCACGGCCAGTGCCGAATCCAACACGTTTTGCAGCGCGGTTAGGAGAAAGTCGTCAACGTACGCCCCGAGAAGGCCGTGCAGATTATTATGCTGGTCTAGAATTTTCCACAACGACGGTTCCGAATGGCATGCCTCGAACCTAAGCTGAAGGGCACCGCAAGCCCATCGCATACCCGCAAGTTCAGAGTCTCGGTATCTTGCCCAACAGGCTGGAGATACATCCAGCCCGTAAAGCGCTCGAAGTACGAGCCACCGCTCCCGGGACGATATCAATCCAATACGCACGAGTACCTTGGGCGGTACTAGAACTATCCTTTTTGTTACCCTGCGGTCCCTGGCGAGTGGCGCGTTGAGAAACGCCTTCTTAATATCAACAACCGCTGCGACCCAGCGCTTTAGAGCAGCGCATCGTATCTGGATCTTGAGGGCTATGCTGTCCAATCCGCTGGCGTAAAGATGTCTACGACGGATAACCCCAGGCTGGTCTGACAACACGTCAGGACCAGCGGAACCCGTACCGTAATTTCCACATGCTACTATCCGGGCCCTCTCTGCCCCCAGCGGGGGTTTGAGGGTGTAGACCACTTTGGATGGAAGTACTTCGGTATCGCCGGAAGTTTCATCTACCTCTGAAACATCAACCGGAAGAATTGCCCGATACTGAGACGTAAGACCGATGTATTCTTCTGTCAACGGTGCGATCCACCGCTGGATTTGACTGTTTGCTTCCTGCGGGTCTACGGTCCTAGTCTGAAACATGATGTCCTCCTGAACCCCTTCATTCTGAACATCCGCCGGCACTGGACCCGAAGCTACTGCTGCCGCGAGGCGACATGTTGACATACGAACTGAATCGGAATGCACGGTTGAAATCTCTTGGAAGCTCTCCGCAGCTCGACTTAACTCCAACTCTGCTTGAAGCCTACTTATGCGCATCTCAAGACTAGCCAAAGAGTCAACAGACGGTAGGCTACTAGGATCCGACAAGCGAATTTCCTCCAGCAGAGCGTATCGCTCTTGCGTAGCAACTCTCGAAAGAAAAAACGTTTCTGATACAATGGCCTCCGCATCCTCAGGAGGTAACAGATAGGCTACACCTGGATCCTCAACAACCTCCGCACTACCCTCACGACCGCAAACCCCATTGCCCTCTGGGACATCCTGAGGAAGCCACGGCATCTCGGACAAATGCTTCAGCACTGGGATAACAGGCAATGGGAAGCCTAGACTTCGCAAATCATGTAGCTGATCTTCGGAAAGTCTCCCAATGCCCCTCGGCGTGTATGCTACCAACACCAACCGATCCCCCTGATGCGGTAAAACCTTATGCCTACGTCTAGCGTTAAAAGCTACTGGGCCTTCAGAGACCTGGTATTTGAAGCCTCGTAGGGGATCTATCTCGGCCTCGTCCAACGAAGCCCCTTCTTCAAGCACTCGAATATCCCCTCCACTAAACACACCCACCGGAACCACAAAGTTTAGCGAGCCCTGAAGATTGTTCTTATCCCTATGCCAGTCTAGAAGTGACGACTCGGATAGACAAAGCGCGGTGTACTCAGCATGCGGCACCTGGTCTTTCATATAACGGTTCAACAGTCGTACTAACTGCTTCCGCTGGTAAGTTACCTGGCAAACTCCATGAATCCCACCATGACTAAACGCTCCGAAAAAGATCATACGACCAGGATTCGACTGTTCTACCTGCCTCTTCTTCTTCGATGGCCACCTACACGTCTCAAGAAGCTCCCTCAACTGCTCTCTGGTTACGATCCCCTGATCAAGAAGATTAGCGGCAAGCTCTTCCGCTCCGTCCCTCGGAGTCGCATCCCAAACCTTATCAGAGCCTACTTTGACTGGTTCCGCATACCAAACCTTAGACAACGTTCCTACCTGTTGTCCCTCATCCCAGAAAACTCCATCATCCTCCCATACCTCGCCTACCTGATCACAACACTCCCCCGGTCCTGTCACCTCCTCGCTGAACCCTGCCTTGAAACCTCGATCCTCTTCATCATCACTGTCTTCATCGGGTCCACAATCATCTAAAACTTCAATCAACCTAGACCCTCCCCCTTGCGACTTGGCCAACACAAGGCGCAAACGAGGCGCTGCAGAAGATTTAGACCGAAGACGAAATCTCGGTTCCCCGGCGTCAGCAGTACCAGGTTCCGAAGGGCAAACAGGAGGATGGGAATCACTTCCAGGGGACTTAGCATGAGGACCTAGAGGAAGACGCTCAGCAGGAACCGGATCGTCACTCGCAAGCTCCACCGGCTCAGGCTCTCTGACTGCAGTATAGCACCTAGTGCTAATCAAGAAAGTATGGCTCCCATCCGGTCGGACTACCAAAACAACCCAACCCCTGCTTACATCACGGGACGGACACAACAGAATTGCCGAGGTAGCTCTGCTAGACCAAGAACTAACACGCCAGCCTCTCTCCCTGATCCAAATCTTAGCCCCGAACGGCAACGGCGTCCGCATCGTTAGCCCTAACTCCTTAAAGACAGGGTTGCTCATACAGAATGCTGCGTAGCGGACAGCACTAGGCCAATGATCTTTCGACAACCCCGCATCGTGAAGCACACAACGAGCCTTCTGCTTAACAAGGCCAACGAAACGCTCGCTCAACCCATTAGACTGAGGTAAATCCCCCGGAGACGTAGTATGAGCCAAATCTCTAGCCAAACACCAATTCCGAAAACTGGCATTGACAAACTCAGCCCCTCTATCTGAGTGGACTCTTTGAACCGGAAATCCATGGCGCTTGAGGTCTACGTAGATCTTGGAAACAGCTTCAACTACGTTCTTACGAGTCTTGTTATAAAACACCTCAACGAAAGGGATACGCCACATTGGGAGTGGTTCCAAGGACGCTTCTGTGAGAAGCTTCCATTTACGGGCTAGCCTATCAACCTCATCAAGGGCCGCCTTATCTGCAGGAACGGGCTCATCCGGAGTTTCTTCTATATCGCTCCAGCTATCCGGTATCGGCTCGTCCTGCGGACCAGACTCCGGCACAGGCTCAGCCACAGAAGCTCCGGCTTCACCGTCCGGTGGCACGGAAGGAACGGGATCACTCGGAACTACCGCTGGATCTTTGGCAGGCTCCCCCCTTTTCCAAAATTTAGGGAAAGTATACACCGCGACTAAGGCGTACCTCGCCAAACCCGTATGATCAGCGCCCGCCTTGAAAGGCCCTGCCAAATCTAAACTCAGCGCGAAAGCGTGTGCATGTTTCTTCCGCTTACAGACGTGATGATACGCGGCCGACTGCAGACAAGCTCTACAATCTTTACGCCAAGGCAGATGTCCCCTATTCACATGCTGACGAAACTCTTGCTGTTCCTTGGTCAAGAATCCCATAGGTCCAATACCACGCCCATCATCACTGTCATCCGAACCCACACGCTCCGCCGCGACTCTGCAGAGCTCTTCCAACTGACCAATATCCTTACCCTGACCCCTCAACAACTCTGCCAAAACCTTTAGCCGAGCGATTGCCTCCTTAGCATCCGACTCCTGACACAAACTCCATTCACGCCACACCGCGGAAACCACCCGCACCAAGCTAGAAGACCACCGCGAGCATCTCTCGCCAGCGACCCTTTGATTATCCCGGCTAAGACCTAACTCTGCACCCAGCCCTCCGAGATCAGAAGATAGAACGGTTTCGTGCAGACGTTCAAACAGCTCCCAACTGGAGGAACCTATGGATACCGATCCAGTGGCATCTGCACCCCAGTACCCGTGATCAACACTAGCCCAGTACAGACCCAAATCCCGAACCTCAGGCCAGTTAACCACGGTTGCACCCGGACCGTTACTATTGCCATGCTGGTTCCTCCTGCTAGGACATTCGAGGACTTCGAAGAGGGATCGACCCTCTTCCGCACTAGCCTCTCGGGCTACATGGATAAGAAAAAGCATTCGCAAAAGGCTAACATTTTCGCTGAAGACCCTTTGACGATCCTTTCCAACAAGTCCCTGAACCCCAAACCTACCAGGACCTGAAGCCGCCCGTAACACCTTTTGGAACCCCTGACCTTCGCCAACTTCGCTGACACATCCTGGCAGACAACCAATGATTCCGGACACTTTGCCTGCCAAGGCCAACTCAAACAGGTAGCCGTACAAAGACTCCCCAAGAAGATCTCGATTTTTTGTCTGATTCACCTCTAAGAAAGCCTCATCACCCTCAGCCTTCCACCCTGATAAACCCACATGAAACTTAACCAAAACCCTCTTGGCACGATCAAGTCTCCGCCTAGCCCTGCGATTCAAGCCTGCATTCTCAAAGTTAACTAGCGCTTGTAACCCCTGACTCTGTACTGGGATCAACTGCTCTAGGACTTCTACTGGGGCCTCAGGGAACAAACGCTTAATCACCGCAGCTATGGCTACCTCGCGGGCCTCTTCATTCCCTGCTGCCTTTTGAAGCATTGCGGACAACGTCACTTGACTACCGCCTAGAGAGGACTCTACCATACTCACCGCCTTGACCCGAATTCTAGCCCGTTCCTCTTGTAGCTCAAGCTGCTCTATCAGCTCCAACGCCAACCGTCTAGATACCATAGGACACCCCTTAATCAAGACCGTCGGAAGGACTCCACGTCGCGGATGATGAAGCTCGAAGCCCTGTGGCCCCCATTCTACCCTAAACCGAAGCTTCTCAACCAACCTTCCTAAGGGAATGATGGGAGTAACAGTCTTCTCTGTTAGCAATGTCCCAAACTTATTCATGGCTAGAGTGGTAGTTCCGGTGGCCAGTTCAACGGAAATTTGAGTAGATTCCCTACACTCTAAGGGCGTCCCCTGCCGAAGTGCGTTTGTCGCGCCTCCATCTAGCAAACCATACTCTTCCTCGCCTTGCTTTAGATATCTCAGAGAAACACCGTTGACATCAACCGCAGTCGAACCCGGAAGAGCATTCAACGTGGCCCCGGACTCACCTACATCTTGCTCCAAACCTTCTAAGCTGGCAACTAGCCTAGATACATCGCGCGGACACACTATCACTCTACCCTCCCTGACTTCAGCAGAGATGCTCCCAAGCGAAGGAACCCAAAGCTCGATCCCATCAGGAGTCCAAGTGACCGTGCCCCCTAGACCCTGAACAAATCCACACATTGGAATAACCGTCGGGACCGTGTTCAACGTAAAGAGTGAACCACAATCCCCGCGCCTTAGCACAGTGACCCCAAGCGGAAGTGAGACTGAGCAATCCTTCGCGCATCGCCACTGCTCGATTTCTGCCCTTCTACAAATTCTATCCGCGCCCGAATCCAAAATACCTTCTGAAACCGAAACGGAATCACACTTCAACCCTCGAATTGTAAGCGTGTTACACTGATGGGCTTCTAGGCGATGCGCACCACTAAGCAAAACAGACGAAGATTTCTCAGCTAGGGAATCAGCCGCATCATGATCCTCAACAGAAATAGTGATCCCTTCGCAGCCCGGAGCATCAACAGCATCAGCACCACCACCATATCCAAATCCCAACGCTTTCCAAATACTCTCTGCTTCCGCCCCGTAAGAACTCTCGGAAAACCCTATACCGCCCTTCAAAGATCCCAGCTCTCCACTTGCATGATCACAAAAGGCGCTGCTGGGGGCTGCCACAATCCTTGCAAGCTTCAAGCCCTTCAGAATCCTCAAAGCCTCTGCCTCGACATGCTGAGTGGATGGACCCGCTACTTCCGAAGATGAGGAATTGGTAGCCCTCCCAGCATCGCCACTCTCGGGTGAGGCAGCTGCGGAACTACCGGCATCAGTGGTGACAGCGGCGACTGCCGCGCCACCCTTCTTGCCCTTCTTCCCTTTACCTTCTTTACCTTTTCCGCCTTTGCCCCCTTTCGCACCCTGAGGAGAACCAGATCCTGAACTCTGACCAGATTCTCGGTTAGCAACAGGACACTCGGGACGACGGTGCACATTATCAGTTGAGCCACAACAATAACACAACCCCCGTTTACCTGCCTCGGCAAACTGATGCTGAAAAACGCAATTATCTCCATAAGAGCAACCCTTAGAGGTAAGGTAACCCCTACACAATGCCTTCGCATCAGCTTGCGGAGACTTCGGTTCGGAACTAACGCTACCACCAGCGGACTCTGCCTGTGACTTAGAGCCTTTCTTGCCTTGACCTTTGCCTTTCTCAGAACCCTTGGCTCCCTGACCCTCAACGTCAGTCTTGGCGAGCTTCGGTTGTTTCTGAGGACGCTGGGGGCTCTCGGTTGTTCCCGGGGCATGTATCGTAGTTAATTCCAACTCTGCGATATACAACTGCGTTAGCTGGTCGACCTTTTCATGGTTGGGGGCGTAATCTATACGGTTTTGTTCACGCCAAGCTGACACACGAAACTGTGGCCCTGGAAGCGCAGTCATGACAGCCTTAACGATACTATCGAGCCCGTTCAACCTCAACGATGGGTCTGGCAACTGCGCCCGTACTTCCAACAATCGCCTGTTCACGCGCTGCCACTTACGCACCGACTCCAACGCTTGAGAAGATGTTTGGGCCGTAGGAGGGGTAACAACAAAGGCTAACATCGACGATTTGTCTGATGCTGATCCTGGCTGAATCCGGCACAAGGCCCTAAACAAGAGCGCGGTAGCCGAGACATTCCTCGCTGCAATGGCATCACTCTTCACTCCTTCTGGAAGTGCCCTCAAAAGCATTATAACTACGCGCTGTTCAAGCAACGAGAAGCGGCCTTTCTTAAATCGCTCCCCATGTGGGTCTGGAACTAGTCCAATCCGCAGTGTGGGGGATGCACGCAACCACTGCTCGTACGCCGATTCTGCTGAACGCACAATGTTTGACCAGTAGATCCCAGCGCTAGGGCTAAGAGAACTCACTATCGGCGACGACTCCGCTAACCAGTCACTCAAAATAGAGCTTGGGTCCATAGTTTCGAGTTTAAGAACCGGGAGTTCAGGAACGTACTTTTCCAGTCTCTCTGGGGCTTCGTGCTGGTCACTCCGATCTTGATTGCTGACATCCGAAGCTATATCATAAACCTCCGCATCCCCGAAAGCCACCTTTCCACCTGGACTGCCTGCTGGCACTGGTGTCCCCCCGGGCGTGCGTCTCCCCCTTTCGGAAGCTGCCGCAGTCGCCCGTGGAGTCACGGGAGGAGTGGTCAAAGGCGGTGCCGGGGTCACAACAGGCACCGCTACTGGCGGTGGAGGAGGAGCAGGGCTACTCCCAACACTACTGAAATTCTGATCAATCACCTGCACTCCCTCAGGCACCGCTATGGGCAAACCCAGCTGAGGATGATACAACCACGTCAGACCCCGACCAATCTCCAATCCTTGATTGAATGATGTTTGGACTGAATTTGGCAAAGACAGCGGAGGCAGCGGAGGCATCCCCGGCGGGACTGACGGCACTGGGGGTGCCCCTGGGACCATCCCAAGCCCATCACTCGGCCCAAAAAGATCAAAGCTGTGAAAGGACTCTTGCGCAGATGCGCTACCCTCACTAACTTGACCAACCGGTCCTTGACCGTGTGGTGGGTCTTCCGCGGCTCTTTGTCTGGGAGAATCAATCCGATAATGAGGTATCTCCATTCTTAACCAAGGGTTACCCGCACTCCCTCCAGCAGCCAAATTCCCGTGAACGATAGGACCCAGCAAACCCCTTGAGGCCTGACCCTGCGAAGCTCCCAGAAGTGCCGATCTTCCCTGCAGCTGTTGAAATGGAGATACTTGACTCATTGCTCCCGTTATGGCCGGTTGAAGGCCTTGAGCTTCCCCTTCAGGCATCTCCCCAGCTGAGTTTGTCCCTCGAGCTAATGCCTCGTAGTGCCTATCCAAAGCCCCATGATCCACCCAACCCAACTGGGATCTTTGGCCTGCCGACCACCGGCTAGACTGCTCGGAGCTTTTAGCCTCCTCCAACGATTGAACCCGACTGCTCAGAAGATTCATCGACATCACCACCTCTTCCATAAGCCCTTCAAGCCGAGAATCTCTTCCGCTACGATGTCCTGACTCAGCTTGAGAGGCTTGCCCCAATGGCGACGACGCAGCTGCCCTACCAGCTGACTCCAAAGATCCCTGATGCTGCTGCCGACCCTGCTCGTCTGGCGAAGCGCTGACACCATCCGCTGCTCCCACCCTCCGAGTGCAGGAACTTAGCGCTTCTGGAACCTCAAGAGCCCTCTGACTCTCATCATTTCCAGCTTGCTGACCCTCCGCCACTGGAGTCACTTGATCATCTATGGATTGCCTAATCTGCCTAGAGATCTCACCTTCAACTCCGCCACCGCTTCCATCAAGCGGACTTACTGACTGTTGTCCAGATCCTCTGGGCTCTGGTCGTCCTGCGCGGCCTTCCGTATCCAAACCAGGAACACCATGCCGGGCACTTCTATCCACGGGATCGGCCATCGACCCTTGCTCCAACGACACATTCCCGGAGACAGACTCCATCCGCCCTCTCATGTCCACATGTGCTCCATAATCTGGATCCCTGAGTTCTTCATCCACCCTCACTTCTCTTGGTTCATCATCGGCTGTCTCATAAGCATCTCTCGACATGGGGGTGGAGACTGCTGACCTTGACGCTCGCTGACGACTGCTACGAAGATCCGGATCCATTTCAGTAAACTAGACGTACACACGAATGTAGATCAACTCCCTAAGGATTAAAAAGCACTAGACCCCTACCTAACACCCAAGTATCACGAGGAGTACGCAATACGTGCCCTTGGGCTCCTAACCTAAAGATCACGTAGAATGAAAGGTAATGTTAGGAATGGATCTTGATGCTTTCACGCTTGGTTTTCTCACTCTTCAGCTCGATGTTAAAAAAGGCCTTCGAACAGACAGCAGTGCTCCGCTCAACTCACACTGATGATGCTCCAGACCACCATACCTTCGATTGTTTGGGGCTTCAATTACGGGGTTTTGACCTGGTTCAGGTTTTACTGGTGTTGTTTCTAAGGAGGCAGCTTTGATAGAGGAGTTCCAGGATGTTTGGCCGGGGATAGGATTTATGTGGTGTCAGGGTTGGGTGTTAGGTAGTCCGTAGTTATTTAGTTAATTTAGAGTACGTAAATTGAATTTTAGTAAGAGTGTGGAAGTCTTAGAATCAATGTACTGCAAAAGCCAGGCAAACATTAACTAATCCGAAGGCTAGCTATCACTCACCGGGCCATTTCTCTGGTTCAGGGCTAGGAGTCCTGAGGTTCGACTTTGGGAGAATTTACGAGTTACCGACTTGGGCGGGCTGGGATCAGGTTGGTAGGGTTCCCAGGGTAGGTCCTCAGAAACAAAGAATACAGTAGTATTGGGTCAAACCATACCTAGCTCCAATACTTCTCTTGTTGTTTACAGTAGCGAAATCCGGAGGCACGGGCCGCACTCTCGGCTCTGTCACCATCGTGCAGTGTGCGACCCTGGTGGATACGGCAAAGATGCTCCGGGCCATGATTCGCCGGCAGTGCAGGCAGTTTGCGGGTGGGTAGTAATAGTCCTTTTGCTGCAAGCAACGGACCCTGAACTTTCCAACTAATCTGCCCGATCGCTGCGAGAACTCGTAATGGCCTGCTACCAGAGTTGCCCCGAAACTTCTTAACCACAACCCGGTTTGAAGCTACATGCCCTGTACGCCCCAGCCCCCAAAACAATCCTAATGCTCTGTGCAGGAAGAAGGACTGGAAGAAGCATCAGCTGGAAGCCACCCTGGAAGCCGAAGTCGAGAAGTATCGCAAGGCTGCTCCCTGCTAGTCTATTGTATATATATATATATATCACCCCACAAGATTGCTGGCCAGGAAGCAACCAAAGATCTCCAGTCGAGCCTGAAGAGCTCCAAGAAGCAGGGCAAAGCCAAGGACTTCTTCGTGCGCTAAGTAGACAGCAAAAGCTTTTGTCGCTTGCTGCTGATCTAGACTACAACACAATCCTAGTTTTCCGATCTTGCAGGAGGAGCCCGCGAAAGCCCCGAAGACAAAGGCTAAGACTCCCAAAGGGAATCGCAAGGAGGAGCAGGAGGAAGAATCTGATGATCCCCCGGGAGAAGATGATGAACCAAATGGTGATGATGATGAGGAAGATGACGAAGGCTTCAAGGAGGAGGGCTGGCCAGCTTCGGGCGACGACGGCGACGACGACGACGATGATGATGATGATGGTGGTCGGGGCAATGCGGCAAAGGGAAACCGGCTAAGGGGAAGGAGCCGGGAGAGGAGGAGGGAGAGTCTTCGGATGGAGACTTGTTTGAAGGCAAGTATGGCCGCTCGAAGGTCGACACGCCGCAGGCCAAGACGCAGACGGCCGAGACACTGTTGCAGAAGCTGAGCCCACAGATTCAGAAGCAAGCCCAGAGCATCGAGCAGTCTGTGCTGAAGTCATTGCCCCAAGACATCCCCATGTAGCCCAACTGATATAGTGCAATCTGATTTGTGTTTGTTGGGTGTACTTACGATACTGCCTTACGGCCTGGATCAATTGTCCAACTTAGGCAAGACTTTTCCCTGTTGGTGCAGATCTTGCTGAAGGAAGAGGTATATACTATGGAATCCCTCCTGGACTGCCTTGACCTGGATGGAGGCTAGTAAGTAACTAGTACCCAAAAGGCCCCAGCCCTAGAGATTGTGTCGTTGTTCCGGCAGGCGGCTTTATCGGGAACCTTGGGGAGTCCAAGAGCCTTTATTCTCGCCTCAGTGCTTTGGCCAAGAAGGCTGCGAAGATTTGGCAAAACAAGCTTATTGAATCTCAGGCCTGGCCAAGGGCTGGGTTGGGTTTATTCAGGAGGGCTTGCTTGGTTCGGTTTCAGCTACCTACCACATAATAAACAATTTCGGCTCTCTCCTGAATGCTTTGCCAGGCGACCCCGGCTCGCCCGTCGAAGCCCGCGGAACTCAGCACCTGAGCTGTGTTCCCTCTCTGTGGAGAGGGGCATTGAGGGGGGCAGTTTTGTGAGAGGCCAGGCTTCCTGTGCCTCGTTTGGAGTTTGGTGCTCTTGATAGAGTCGAAGCTTCGGGGTCCATGAGGTCTGCAAAACGAGTGCTGTCGAAGAGCCCTGCACTTCTTGCTGCAATCGTGAGACTGTTGAAATCGTTGCCTGCAGCCTTGTTCTGAACAACCTCGTTGTCCGAACCGCTGAATTTTCGAAGCTGCTTATGGGGTCTCGTGAAGACAAGTCAGATATGCAATATAAGGTTCGGGTAGTGTTTCTTCGATGGGTTCTAACATTGAGAAAAAGGTGTTTGGATGGGTATAAGTAAGTTAGATACGACTATTATTAGTTGGGTTACAACAGAAGACAAAGACGCCAGAGCTTCTGCAGTAGCTCATTGACAGATAGGCCCGATCTTGTTGATCAGTAGCCAAAACCCTACTAAACCCTAAAAAACCCCTAACCCTTAAGCCCTAAACCCTTCACTACTTTAATGCTAAACTAGGCCAGAAATCATTCCTGTTTCGATAAACATCTACAAATTCATGCACCCGAACACTAGAGCCACGGACCCCTGATTCTTTGGAGTAATTGGGTGGCAGCGAGCTACCAATTACTCCGAATCCGAGACTTGGTGGCACTGGCTCACTAAATGCTGTTGTGGGTAAGGTCTGTTATATGTTCCGGGAGATCTAGTTTGGTTTATGTTTCCTTTGTTTTCTTGGGGCCGGGGCTTTTCGTCTTCCAGGAGTACTAGACCGGGTGCCTGGGTGTTCGCTTTTGGCTGGGCTGCTGGGGCTCGGGGCCAGTTCCTTCATTTTTAGTAGCGAAGAGGGTTCTTCGTGGTTTTTGGGGGCCTTGAGCGTGCTGCCTGGCATGCTTAGCGTGCCACCTCGTCCCGACAAACCCTGTTACGCACCGCCTCGTTCTCTAACGTGCCCACTCAAACCCAACGTGCTGCATGAGGAGTTTTCCGCCCGCAACGTCGTACTACGTAGCGAATGCAAAACATCGAGGCGGCATGCAAATATCTTTAAAGCCCGCAAAAGTGCCTAGACAAGAAAACGCTGAGGCATCCCTCAAAAAAGAGCGTGCTCCCTCAATTCCCCAGAATGCGTGCCAGCTCGAATTGTCGGCCCCTGCACCACCGAACCCGACGCCAATCCAACGTGACCCCTCATTGAGACAGCACTCTCGGTTCGCCGTGCCACGGCCCGCACCGTGCCCAGGAATGCCAGAGGCGAGATGGTTCACAGCCAGGCTGCAGGAGATCGCCCAGTGCCTTGGATGAGAGCAATTGGTACCTAGAGCGTGCCACCTGAACCCTCAACGTGCCGCCTCAAAATCCAGCGTGCTGCCTCAACTGCATTTCAGTTAGGGAATTTAAGACAGCAGGCATCCTGTTATCCGAGGAGCAAAACCCAACCGGCTGCTGAAGAAGCCAGAGTGAATATGTATCGTAAAATGCAATTCATCGATCAATGCCTTCGGGATGGACGGCCTTTGGGGGAAATGGCCGTGACACCCGCATCCTGGGAGGTTCTGTGTTTGCACACAATGTTGTACTGCTGGCTGCTTCGCTTTCTGTGAATCAGTGAAAATACAGCCTGGTCGCCCAGGATCTGATTGATTCCTTCCGGGCTAGATGCTTGGAGATGAAAGTGCCTTTGCGACCGAGATTATTTCCTGCTGAAGCCCCGCAAGCTCCTGCTTCAGAAGCAGCCGAGCCTGCCAGCTCTGTTAGTGATGGTAGCCCTGGAAGCAGCTACTGCGAGTTGCAAACACTATATCTTGATTGCCGGGCCGCCGTCAAGGGTGTGCTGCAGCTCCACAAGGCTTTCCTAGGATAGTACTAAGTTTAAACAAAAAAACGGACGATCTGATTCTGCCAAGCTCCCCTGCAGATTGTGGAGACGGACCTCCAGGGCTACACTTTCCTCTGGAGGGTAGAGGAGGCATGGCAAATTATGAAAAGACAGACGGCTTTCCATAATTGGTTCACGAAGATGTACCTTGGATTATTATGGTGCCAGGGTTTGAGTACTTCGTCCATGCGACATATGTAACCAATTTGCCTAAGGCAAGAACTCCAGGGCGCCCAATTGGCCACCGAATGGCGGGTGTCGCTCCCCGTGCATTTCATTAGAAAACAAGATTATCGTGGCAAAAAAAAAACTGTACTGGAAGACCGGATACGAATCAGCTTCGATGCCCTCACCACACCCGGTCTGTTGTTTTCTGTGCTTCGGCAGCAGTATCAACGGGAGCAACAGTACATGCACCCCACTCGTGATAGTTCCTGTTCCCCGTTCTTGTCCGCTTGCAATGCCAAGGTGGCCTGTGGGCTGCAAGTCAGAGGCTGCAAGCCTCGTTTGCAGAAGTCTGCGATGGCAGCACTGGAAGTGATTACAGGGGTGGCCTTGCCGGCCGATTATGTGCTGGATCTTCTTCCCGGCAATGATGAATGAGCCTAGGACTAGATTATTTTAAAGGTTCGCCAGTTCCATGATTCAAGATTTATGATTTTGTGCACTGCCATGATACCTTAGGTATTGTGAAGGTCAGAAACCACCAGGTGGACCTTGCAAGCCTCAAGACTTTCCTCGACTACACCGGCCTTGATTCGAGGCTATTTCCTCCAGCCTAGAGCTACTTATTGATAAGTATAAATTGAAGTAATATTTTTATTGTTAATTATATGATTAGTAGATCCTCAATAATCCCTCAATTTCAACCTTAAGCCCTAAACCTCGAGGTGGGAACGCAACCAGCTCCTGACACCTGCAGAGCGAAAGCTCCACGCAGGCCTATGTGCAATGGGAAGTTCATACTTGACTGTTGAACACGACAGTTGCAAAGACTTTGCAGGAGTCCGCATGTCTAAAGTGGCATGGTTCATCTTCCGAGCACCAGCTCACGACACCTTCCAGGACAGCCCCGCTGAATAGGGCAGTCTCTGCTGCCTTGAAACAGAAGCCACTGATTCTGATAGGACGAGATTCGATATGGCCGGCTGCACAAGCGACTCATTCATCGGCTGGCACAGCTGGCCGAGGGACACCTGAGCGCCGTGCTTTTGGCCACTTTGCCAACCCCGCAATGTGGAGATGTTTTGCACCCTGCCAGAAGGCCAGTCGCCAACCAGCTCTGTTGTACACCTAGCAGTTTATCCTGAGTACATGTCACACTGTGGTTTCGTTTTTATACCGAACTGCTCCAGGGATGGGCGGCGAGCCCGTGGTGAGCCGAAGCTCCAGAATGTGCTGGCAATCGAGCGATTCATGACGAGAGGCGGGGGTTTTGTCAGCTCCACACAAGATAGCAGCCTGGAGTCTTTGGAGTTGGGTGGAATCCTCCCCGCGAACTACCACAGGACCTTCGTCCCAATTTTGTGTGATCTGTGATGAGTTATTGGGGCTGTAGCTGTTGGGTTCTGAACCACACAAAATGCACGTGCAAGGACAGCTTCGGATTTTGTCTACAGACATATTCGAAAAACTGGCGAGATGCTGTCCAAGGCTCCTTCCTGCATTCACGCAGTTGCTTCAGTAAATGCACAGCCAGACGGAGTTGTCCTCAGGAGATGGCAAAGCAGTCGCTCAAGAGCTTGGCTTTTCTGTGCGACGCATCCCCGAAAGGATGTGTTGATGCATTTCGGCTGCCCTAAGACCATGCAGTAATCTGTTTGTAAATGTGAACACATGCACCACTGCACGAGGTTTGGCTCCCTGTCGTCTCTGCGAATCAGTTTGCATCTGTGGCAACTTTGCAGAAGCTGTCGGCTTTGCTGCCAAGCACAGTTGCTGCTTCGGAGAAGATGAGAATCGCTCAAGAAGTGGCCGACTCGACTACACAGCTGCTGGTGGCGGATCGCCGCACCAAGGACCATAAACCCAAAATGAGACTAGGCTAATATGATGATTTTTGTTGATTCCTATGCAGCTGACACGCACTGGCACAGCCCATTCATTGTACACGACGGATTAGCAGCTTGTGACAACCTTCTCAAAAGGCCCAGAATCATCAGCAGCCTTCACCAAGAGAAGCTCACCGCCAGAGAGCACATCCGAGCCGTGGCCAATGTCCTGAATCACGTGGGGATATCGCTGGATGATGTATTTCCCAAGAACCCGCTGAAGCCTCTGAACCCATCTTCTGAGATTTCTACGACTTACACCCTGAGCGAGAAGACGATGCCTTTCATTACGTCTTTTGAAGACGGGGGTTCGAGATGGGATGTCCCAGATGCTGACTCCCCTCACATTCGATTGATCGTGTGCCCCGACGAGGGAAGCCCAATGTTCAGCAGCTATGTCTTCCTGGCCACCCGGAATGCTTCCATCAATTTGTGTCGCGATGAGCTGCCACTTGCTTGATTGAAGGGAATGCACTGCCGAGCGCCAGAGTACTTCCATTATCCTGCAACAGCCGAGGCACAAATTGAGCCAGTACTGCCTGCGAGTTCTGGCATCCTCGCCCATGATGAAGCGATCCTCGGATGAGAATAGAGTTCGGGCTGCTTCTCAGGATATGTGTGGTAGCTGCTAGGGACACCGTGTGCCTCAGGAATGAGTGTGCTCACTTCGTGGCTTTACAAATGCCGCAAGAGCCCCTGGAAAACCCACGGGATCGGCAGCACTCTCTGTGCTGCTGGCAAGCGATATCTTGACGTGGCCACTTGGAAGCTCTGATCCGCTACTTGTTCCATACTGCTGATGGCTGCGAATCCCAAACTGCTTCGTGCTGCCCAGGCGGCACCTGATGATGTTCTGCAGCAGCTCTTCGGCCACCACATCCTTGTTGAGACGCTTGGCTAGAAGTTCATTCCCCCACTTGCTTCACTGCCCTGTAGCCAGATCAGGAACGACATCATCCCCGAGTGCGACGAGAAGGTGAATTTCGATCGGGTTTCGGAGATTCTGGGGAAGCTTTGCAGGACAGCTTTGTTGGGTGAATCTTTCTCACCATACATGATCAAGTGAGCTCGCTCTAGGACTAGTGAACCGAATAACTAAGTAAATCAGTACAAACCCAACGAACCCATAATAATCAAATCTAAATTATAGACAATACATATGTGTATGCGACGTTATGTACATGATCCAGTGACTACTACCTCTGCAGGATCCATCAAGAGAGCTACGAGCACAAACGGTGGTGCAGCTGGGCTTTTGCCTCCCGGAGATGCCAATTTTCGGGAACATTGTTGCTGATGTTCTGGGCTGGAATGGAGGCACAATGCTTGTGTAAAGACGTCTAAGAAGGGACCACGAAGCCGTAAACATCTGATCTTGCTGCCAGACGGGCAACAACCCCTTTGCAGTGCTGGACACAGCGGGCCAAGCTGACCCGGAGAAATCGTGGGACAAAGTACTCGATTTGTGCATCAAGGCCCGAAACAATCCTTCAGCCAACCCCGAAATCAAGCTCTCAGTCTGACTCCCGCAACAGGCTTTATGTGATGAGCAGATCCACATCCTCTGGAAGTTCACCCGCGATCTGATGCAACCCTTCCGCGACTTGTGCATCGAGCTTGTGCCTCGTTTCGATTCAGTGTGCTGCCACCATGCGAATGCCAACCAGTCTAGAAATAGAAATCGTTGTCCATTATTGATCTGAACTAAGCAACAAAAGAGCAAGAAGCTCCTGGCTCTCTATGATCACGTGCTGAAGATGAACTCGAACTTCATGGAACGAACACTTAGTAGCCTGGCTGCCAAAGTGCTCTGCTCGCCCGGTCTTCACCAGCCGCCAGACATTGCAGCAGTGCTTCAGCACGAGGCAGGGCTAGGAAAGGACATTGTCTGTGGGATTAAGACTTATTATAACCTAAGTAAGTAAGTTAATTATTAATTAATTAATTACAAACAACCCAATACTAAAGCGCCTGGGGCACAACCCTAAACCCTAAACCCAGTATTCTAAGATTGTATAACCCGTTTCCAATTCCGAAGTAGCATCGAAGATTGCAGGGTACCATCGATGTAAGATTTCGGATGATAGACATATTCAGGTTTTACAACACGACCATCATGACACGAGGCCACTCGCAGCTGCAAAACCTCTCAGATAATGTGCTGGCTTGGGGATATTGGAGGCTTCCTCGCTAAGACACAAGTGTTTCTATCCCGGCCCCCCCCGCCGCCCAGACCGCAAGGCCACGCACAGACATAGAAACAGGGTAACGGAGAGAGATGCAGAGAGAGAGAGAGAGAGAGAGAGAGAGAGAGACCCAGAGAAATAAAGGGAGAGAGTGTGAGAGAGCGAGCCAGAAAGAACGAGGGAGAACGAGAGAGAAAGATAGGCGGGGATGGACAGAGAGGGAAGCCAAAACATCATAAGTATGGAAAACTACGGGAGCAACAAAACAGTCAAAAGAGATGGAGATGGAGGGAGAGGGAGAGAGACAGAGAGAGAGAGAGAGAGAGAGAGGGAGCGGGGAGAGGGAGACAGAGAGAGAGAGGGATGGAGGGAGCGAGAGAGAGAACGAGGGCGATCTTAACGGTCGACTCTTTTTCGTCCTAGTTGCTCGTGTGTGGAATATTGAATAAAGAAGCCAGCCCATTTGACCACAAGATAGAACCCTGCAGAACGAAGAGCGAAACACCGCATCACATGTGTGCTCAATAACGACTTGAGAAGTTTTGTCAGTGTGTGTGTGTGTGTGCACTATCCTATCTATCGGCCACGCTTTTCGCCACGACACCGGTGGAAAAAACAATAGGCTGCCGGGTTTCGATGCGAGCAAAGAAAGCAGGAGCAGCAGCAAAAACAGCAATTAACAACGGCCCGGCTTCGTTGCTTGATTGTGGCACAGGTCCTGCAATTCGACTTTCGCCGTTCGTCTTTGGACTACGAGGTTCTGAAGGAGCAGTTGACTGGCTTCCTGAGCTGTTGTCACGAACTCCAGGAGTACGTGCTTTACCTTCGGAGTTTTCCATGTCGGGCTGCCGCTTATTGCTCAACCGAAGCAACATCGGAAACTCGGGATGAAATTCTGAAGGCTGCTGAGGAAGAGTACGACATGATCCGGGAAATCGAGGCCACACCTTCCGGCTCCAGTGTGCTCAAGCAGCATGCTCTGCACACCACGTTTCAGGTGTACCGGGAGATCATGGCAACCATGCAGCTGCACCAGTTCAAGGATTGCAAGGCAATAGAGGACATTGTGCAAGCATGGTACCCTCGTTGGGGCCAGTCATCCAGTTTGGAGCAGGTGTTTCGAGAGCTGGAGCAGGCTACGAAAAGGGTGGGTCATGTGGGAAACTCGATGTCGAACCTCTCCTGTGTGGCTGTGCGGGCTTTGGAAAGAAGGGTTTGCTCCGGCGAACAGTGTCCTGAGACGCCGTCCTTGTGCGAAAAGGACTGGGAGGGCCAGGTGGTACGCAGCCTCAAGGACAAGATGTGGCATCCCACTTCTGCTCCTGTCTGCATCTTGAGTTCGGTTTAGCACGTTTTCATCTGGAGAGGCTTCCTGCTAAGCAGGGGGAGCTTTAGAAATGCAACAGCCAAGGTAAGAACGTGAAAATCGACGAGATCGTAAAGCCTTTTACCACCATGACGGCCTACTCTCAGACGCACCACAACTTCAACTGTGTTTTGGGGTGGAAGGAAGCGAAAAGGCCAGGCTGAAAGTATTACGTATCCCGTATCCTTTTGCTTTTGCACAGCATGAACCGAAACAAGTCTGTTTTCTCAAATCGTCTTTTTGACAGGATTGGCACGAGCCCCATCGATTCGATCGGCGCCATGTGGGTTGCTGGATGCTTCGTGGCGGGAACACTCTTTCGGCAGCACGACACTTTCTTTCTTTGCACCGGCAAAAGCCCAGCAGTCGTGCACGCCACCAAACGATATATTCATCAACACTTTTCCGTTAATGTTTAAGTAGGTCCTCATAAGCATATTATGAAACTCAAGTTTGCATATAATATAGAAGGAATACACAATGTGTTTTAAACCCAAACATGAAAACTCCCGCGAATAAATTGTTGCATGTGCGGACCCACATTCAATGAAACTCCAGCAAACCTCTGCTGAGGTGATCCGTCTGAAAGAGATTTCCTGGCAGTTTGCTGGCAAGCTGCCGCCTGAGAAGCTGGACGAGAGACGGATGCCAAAGATGATGAAAGAATTTAAAGATCCTTTCCAGGAGCAGACAGACAGCACAAAGGCTCTCGTGATGGAGAGTGGGCCGAGACACAGCTGATCATTATGACGTTTCTTTTCTATAAAAGGATTAGGGTTGTGAATTGCTGGGCTAAACTAAGAGCGATGGTAGTTTGGATGTTATGTCTGCATTGCAAGGACAATGTTGCAGCACGTGCTTTGCGGACTTCACGATGCTCCTGTGTCTAAAGCAGACAGAAGAGTAGACTGAAAGTTTAGCTTCGGGTCGGTTTAAGTCTTTCAATAAGAGGTTCCTGTGCCGGGTGTAATATGAGAGTGTATAATAATGTTAGTTAATAATACTGTAGTCATTCGAGGTAGAGATCTTTGAGTACACAGTTCACGTGAGCCCCGCTTCGATGCAGAGCAAGTGTGGTGGGCTCCTCTTTCGCAGAGGGCCCAAAGCATATTCACTGCTGGTACACCTTTTCATCTCAGATACCATCATGGGCATTACTTCGGCTGCCATGTCCGATCTCCTCACCGCCTACGAGTGCCGGATGCCGAAGAACAGCAGCAAGCATGCAAAGATCAGGAAACTGATGACATTGGCCGATGTCAAAGAAGCTCTGGGCGAGCACGGGATCGCGGAAATGGAGGCGAGGCTGCAAGAGATCGAAAAGAATCGTGCATCAAAAAAGAAGGAGAAAGAGCAGGAAACCGAAGATGCTGCAATGCTTGAAGCTGGGCTTAAGAGTAGTTCTGCTTTTGCGACGGCATAGTATAGTCAGACCATCATCTATGATTTATGTTGTCTTTGTTTCAGGATGCGAAGGCCGAAGAGGACGACCCTGCTTTGGCTGCTTGCAACCAGCTCCTCGAGGAGCTGGAGAAGGAGGAAGAGGAAGAGAAAGAGGAAGAGAAAAAAGAAGAAACCGATCCACGGCAGTGTGCAGTTCCGTAATCATTAGGCTTCTTAGTGCTTGGATTTTGTAGGTGCGCAATTAAAGCCGCAAGACTAGAATAGTAACAGGGTTAGTGGTGCAGTGATGCTGATCTGTATACGTGTGCAATTCTTCACAGTAAACAACCGTCCAAAAATAAGGATCAGAAGGAAGAGCCCCGGACAGAGGAAAGCAAGCGGGCTTCGAAGGTTTTGCTCAGCAAGACTGAGACTGTTCCGCGATGGTTGGTGGACAAGTTCCCGATTCCTGACGGCGGATGCATCCACCACACGCAGTTTCGCGACACGTCTTTGCCACTGTTCCAAGCGAAATTGCACCACGGCAAGATCTTCGAAGGGCAGAAACAAAGCTGCAGATTGGAGTTTTTCCTTTTCGTGATTTGTGCTTCGGGTCTCCAGCTCGATTCCGTTAAATAAAAGAACACAGCAGCTCAGGAACAGCATCAGTGCAAGCTACAACCCGACCCTGGGCCGGGAACAGCTGAATGAATGCATCACACTTGTGAAGACAATGGCAGCACGGCAACGAAGCATGGCCCAGGCTTACTTTTTCACTTGGAGTTGGCTTTCACGTGCGGTAAAGCCAGCAGAGAAGAAGCGGAAGCGATCGCAGGCATGAAAACGAGAGTGCAGAAGTACACTAAACAAGAACGATCATGCTTGCAGTGGCTTTTGCTGCTTTTCGAAGGGGGATCGAGGACACAGCTTGCGTGTGCGAAAAGAGTCGATGCCCGAAACGGAGACAGCCGAGGCAGCATGCAAACATCTATGGAGCACGACGTATCAGCCAGCATGCGTAGGGTAACCCTTGATTTCAGGGGGTTTATATGTGATATCCCTATCTTTATTTTTGCTTATGTCCTTTCTTGGGGCCCTAAGTATACTGCATACAAAATACTACACATACTATACTATACTGTGCTATGCTATACTTACTCGCGTGCTTGCCTGCATGCTTGCTGGCTTGCTTGCTCGCTCTACTTCTCATACACAACCCTAAACCCGAAGCCCTAAACCCCTAAACCCTAAACTCTAAACCGCTAAACGCGAAGCCCTAAAATTATACGTCGGCTCCTCTACGGACTGGCCCAGCTGCGATGTGCTCCAATGGCGCCTCACCGTCGGAATCCTCCTCAAACTCGAAGTCATCCTGGCCGTAATATAGGGGCCTTAATGATTATCATAGGGTCTTGGGGCCCATTATGCTATATCTAAAACAAGTACCCCCCCCCCCAACAAAACCAAAAAAAAAACAAGTATTTGGCCCCCTGTAGTACGTCGTTTGTTTCGGTTCTGGCTTTTGGTCGTTCAGGTTTCGGGTTGAAGGCTGTGGTTTGCGATGTTACTGTCTTGGTGTCCCAACGGTCCGCTTTCAGGGGCATTATGGGGTTCCATACTGGTTCTTTCAGGGTACCATAAGGGTTCAGGGTTTAGGGTTTAAGGGTCCATGTGCCCAAATTGTCTTTATTGTGGCCCCAAAGTACCTATATCGGGACTACTTTAAGGCCAAAGTATCTTATACCATTTCGGTACATGGGCCCTTAAGCCCGGGTAATAGATGGTGCAGGGACTGAGACTTCATTGCGATTCAGCTCGTTTTCCCAGGCTTTCTCTTCCATTCAGGGTCCAACGGCTGATGATATAAATCCTGCATTACCTTAAGGACCCTAAACCATGGGAATTAAGGCATATTCCTTATTATGGGTCATGCAGGATTTATATCATCAACCGAAGTACCCAAAAATCATACACTTCCCAAATACTGACCCACAAAACTACTGTCCGTAACCCAAATACTCAATTATTAGGTACTTTGAATGAACCATTAGGTTGCAGGGTGGGTCTGCGCTGCTCTCGATGGTCCTCTGGCGTGGTGAGCTCTTGACGGACGAACTCAAGATGCTGGCCAGAACCTGATATTAAAATTAGGGTTTAGGGTTTAGGGCGAGATGGGCGAATGCAACTGACAGTAAACAACAAAAGAAGCTGCTAACCTTTGCGCAGCTAGATCAGTACATCCTCCTTTGCATACATATGCATGTGTATACAGCGTAGGTACTTAGATTTTGAGCATTAAGCAAGTCCAGGAGCGGCCATGTCGGTGAAGGAATCCCCAGGTATCCAACTTCATGTCGCCGCCACAGAGGGCCACCTGAGGATCAGGCTTCACCTTGCCCCCAAATTTACCAGCCGTTTTTAAGGACTTCTTAAGGGAATCATAATAAAGAACCCTAAAAAAAGTAGGTTACTCAGGGTTTAAGCAGAGCCTAATAGTGGTTCAAGGCTACATGTTTTGGGTTGAGGGTTTTTTAGGGTTTGGGGGTTTCCCAAGGCTTTACACAGGGTTATACTTGGAGGACCAAGGGACTTGGTAAGGAGGGTTCTAGACAAGGTAGCTCGAGACATGATTTGCTACAAGTTATAAGTACTTACAACTCCAACTAAGCAACGAGGTACGTATAGCCTTCCTTACTAGGTCCCATGATCCCTCCAAGTAGGTCTTCTGACGGCGTTCTGTGCAAGCTTACTACAAAGGCTACAAAGGTACATGGGTTGCAGTCTGGCTGAAGCTCGCGATTGTAGTGAGTTCCGGGCTCCTTGGGTTTAGGGTCTCGAGTTCAGGGTTTGGGGTTTAGAGCGGAGGGCATGGGGCTTAGACAGCGGGGCCCAGGCATTGAGGCTTTGTCCATGTGCATCGTGTTGATTGATCTTCGTGGGAGTCTCGCAGGGCTGTGTGAGATTTCGGCAAGGCTGTTGAGGAGTTTAACCCTAAACCCTACAATCCTATGCCCTTACGTTTGCGGTATGACTCTCTGAGAACCTACGGCATGAGACCATGCGTTCAGGCTCGGGATTCGGGTTTGATTTGTCAGCGTGTCAAGCTCGATTTGAGATAGAATTCTTGCATAAAGGGGGCCAGAAAACTTAGGGCTTAAGGCGTAGGACTCGTTGGGGACGTGGTATCGATTCTTGTAAACTTACATATAGCCTTGCCAACATTTATACTTTCCGAATATTTCAGCCAAGGTATAACTTAGGGCGAAACAAGTAGGAGTATACACAGACTTTATGTCCCCAACACGCGGTCCATACGGCATCCAGGCTCTAATTGCACTTTCCCAATACGCGCAACTTCTGAAAGCGCAAGAGTTGCAAAGTTGCGTCTCAACCCCTCAACCATATAGCAACCCTAAAACCTATCAAGCCCTTTCGCAATCGCTCCAAGTATAATACAGTGTTTCCTGACGCCCCTGGCTGCATTGATCTCCGGATCCAAGATGCTGATCACTTGCAGCAGGGTGGATCTAGGTCCAGCTTGCCTCAAACAGCTCCCCCCTAACAGCGGCTTGGCCATGCTGTTCTTCTCTTCCTCGGTGGTGGCACAGGGTGCAGCCCTTTGATCGTGTCCACCACGAAGTGTTTCCTTTTGCGATTGTGGAGCTTCCTGTGGCAGGGCCATTATTATCTGCTGCGCAAAAATCAGCCAAGTGCCGCGGCTCACCGTGTAAGAAAGCAAAATTCCTCAGCATCCCATAATCAAGGAGTATACCTTACATGATGGTAGGGTCCATATTATGACGTATTAAACTACAGTATATTCATGTATATAACCCTAAACCCTAAACCCTTAATGAAAGGATATTGGATTGTCCGGGCTGATTCACGTGGGTCGGCGCGCCTGATCGCTCCAAGCAACAACGAACGGCAGGGCACCCGAACCCTGAAACCCTAACCCTTAAGCTCTACCAGGACCCCCCAAGGGCCCTTTAATAGAGTCCTTATGACCCTTATTAGTGGGTATTTGGGATATATTAGAGGGCACTTGGGGGGTCTTGGTAAGGACTCATATTCTAAGGCTTTTGGGCCCAAAGACCATACTATGCAAGGCTTTTGGGCTATTTTGAGCCTTAGGGTAAAGCTTAAACCAACACCTCACAACCTCAACCCGAAACTACAGGCCAGAAATACCGGAACCGTTATAGGACCCTCAAAACAACCCTGCAAAGGACACCGTAGACCCTATATCCCGACATCTTTAACCCTAAACTCTAAACACCTAAAGGAACCGTGATAGGATGCCTTAAAAGGGACCCTCAATTGAACCCTCAGAGTAAAGACTGCTGCGCCTTGAGGTC